TTGTTTTTGTTGAGGATGAGATACGCCATAATTGTTGCCAACCACTGAGGGAGGGGTTCTCTAATAAGTTTGTCCACTGTCCACGTTAGTCGAATGGGCGGCGACAGTCAACCTGGCTCCTGGTACAACTTTCGTTCTTCAGCATGGTGGGAAGGAGAAGTGCTTTTAGTAAGAAAGGCACCTCGCAATTCTGACTCCGCCTAGGCGCTGAACGTGGACTGTGAGCATTGGACCGCGGGTCAGAACGAAGTTCCTACAGTAATGGTGGCTTACTGCCGAGAAGAGGGTAACTACCAAAGGAAAGTTCTGATGCCTTCACGGGGCCGTTTCACTCGAGTCCTCCCTCAGCCATGCCTTATCTAGTCCCAACCAAACAGAGTTTCTTTCACAATCACCTGAGCTAGGTAGAGTTCACCCATGGTATCTTTTGCAGTTTTACACTTGGAGCTCTGCGAGAATTGGGGCGCCAGGGATCTGATCGGATTGAATGGTTTGGAGCTGCTCGGCCATCGACAAACCGTTATCGACCCGTCAACGGTCACAATCTCTGCCAATGGACAAAGCGATCCACAGAGGTAAGTCGAAGAAGCTGCCGATTCTTCATCCTGACGCTCTATGAGCACATTCCTTAGGCTCCTGAATGGGAAAAACCTGACACGAGCTCCTGAAGATGTGTGGTTGACGTCGTTTGACGCCGACAACCCCACCACAATCACTATCAATTTTTCAAAGCCAACTGAACTTACTGGTAGGTGCAAATAACTAAAACGCCTGAACCTCGTTTCTACACTCTCTTTGGGCAGGTATTTCCTTCTGGAACTACAATGTCTCGCCAGAGATGTCATATGCCGGTGTTCGCCTCCTACATATTTTCATCAACGGGCGATTAGTAGCCAGTAATGTGTTGCTACGGAAAGCACCAGGTACTCCTCGCCACTTTTGTACATTTCAGAGTAGAGCTCAAATAACTGGAATCTTTCTAGGCTATGTATTTTTCGACTTTGTCCAGGATGTCTCCATTGATCACCCTACAACGGCTCGTGCTCTGTCTCGACCTTTGACAAGCTCCATTTATGGCTGTAAGTAGTTTCTGGCAGCTCAGTTCACTTGGTAGAATCGATCGTTTTCGTTTTAGTTATTTTTCAACTACAATTGCTCAGCTCGTGGGGCGATGAATTCTACATAGGGTTGAACGGCATTGAACTTTATGATCGACGGCATGAGCGAATCAAAGTCAGGGCACATAGTAAGTTTTGAACACATTCACAGCTATAGCAAAGTACGCCGTACGCTGAGGAATCCCCGCGGGGGTCGTATTTGGTCACTGGGGGAACACGTCGTATTGGACCTGAGAAAAAAATATTCTGAAATAGATTTTTCGTGTCTCACACCTGCTGTCCACATCGTTGGTAGTTCACCATAGTTTGGAGTAGGTCATAATTGGCCTTAAAAATTGTTTCATTCCGGTGGAAATAAAAGGAAATTCTGGCGCTGTTTAT